GCTTAGGTTGTGGGACCTGAACTAAAGTTGCAAGAAGAGAGCAAGCAAAGTGGTTGTTGGGATATTGGTAGCCTTAACTTCAAATAAAGAATCCTGTATAATTTTCCCAAGAAAAAATCTGTAGCATCTTTCCCTATCCCTTTAAACTGACTGCTGTAGTGGGTATAAACTTTGTAAATGGAATGTTAGAGTTCTTGGTGCTTACAATATCCTAAAGTGTTACTGGCAAAGAGGGTGAGAAGCAAAGCACATTTTGGAAATGAAGCCAAACTTCTGGGTGAGTTGACTGCCTTGGGAATGAGTAGTTCATGTGTTGTACGTTTAACTGGGTGAAGCTGGTGCTGCTTCATTCTACCAATGCCTGACCCGTAGAAGGTCCTTCCTGTGTGGTCTATGATCAGTTCCTATTAAAAAAAAGTGATCCTAAAATTGTGACTTGGTTGTTTAAAAATACTTGCTCTTGATGTGGGTCTTTGTACAACAAAATGAATGGGAGTTATTCAGGGCAAGTGTGCTTGATAACAAGCCCTTTGCATGGGGCTGTGTTTAGAGTTTCAGCCCAAATTTGTCTTTCCTTTCTAGTGTTAGATAGGACAGCACTGCTTGCTCCTTTGGTAATTATTTCCATTTTGAAATTCCAGATACCCAAATGAAGACATTAGAGGCCTCTCTTTGGATCTGTTTTATAATAACAAAATTTATTTAGGGGAGGTTTCCTGTTACTCTGTGCTTGTTTTGAGCAACATGTTCACTAACATTCTGGAAGAACAAAGGCTGAGCACATTATAATCATGAAGCTCAGACAATGGGGGCATTGGGTAGTATTTTCTAAGAACTATGTATTGTTTTTAGTTTATATTTAATATTGCATATGTTTGGAAAAATGTGAATAAACTTATTTAACATTCAAAAAAAGAAGAAGAAGTCAAAGATTCCCAGTGGCCATCTGGCAAATCAGAAGTGTAAGAATGAAAAATGGCCATCTGCCTGCTGAAAGGCCAGGGACTCAGTTGAAGGTCAAAGGCCTGAAGGTCATTAATGAGTCCAGGAAGATTCTAAGTCAGAAATCTGAGGGTCTGTGTAGGAAGGCTGGAGAGTCTGCTCTGGAAGCCTGAGGGAACTAGAGATCAATGTTCAAAGGCAATGGTGACCGGAACTCCTCTGAAGAAAAAAGGGCAGACTTTCTCTTCTTTCCAGGATGAGTCTCTCCTCCTTAGCTTGATGGCCTACACATCAGTCATCCACAAACACACACATACCTTTACAAATCTGCTATGCAGTTCTTACTGAAGTTGGCATATCACAGTTAATGACACCATATGAGAATCTTGTGGTCACTCCTGGAGGCTGCCTGGCAAAAATGGAAGCAAGTGTGGGATCTAGAAAGGAAAAAAGCCAGTTCCAGGCCAGTGGTCACAAATTATCAAGTCCTATCAGGTAGCCAGACCTCCTCTAGGTGATCCACTCAGTTACTTGTGCAAGCCCCCACATACCTAAAACTAAAGGAGGCTGTGTGAGGTCAAGGAACTACCTTGAGTGAAGGCAGAGTTGGCAGGTGAACTGAATGCATGAGGCTCTAAACTGCTGCAGGGGCTCTAGCTTCCTGCCCACCAAAGGGTGTCCCAGAGACCTCTTGTTCCACTGTCTCATTTTCCTGCAATTCCTGGACCAGGCCTATGCAGGACCACACTGCCACTGGCTTCCTGGGGCTGAGCTAACATTCAAGTGTCCACTGTATAAGGTCAGAAGGGGACTCATGGTCTCTCTGCTTAGAGTTTGTGGTGACAAGAGAAAAGCAAAGCCAGTTGAGGAATGGGGACATTCAGCTGGAAACTGAAAATGGACACGTCATTTTCAGCTAGAGTTTCAGAATAGCCTCAAGGGAAGAGTCCTGATTTAGCTTCCAAAGCCTGCTGGGGCTGGGGGTGTCAGCCTCCAGGGAGCTGCTCAGCTATCCAAGGATGGATCCTGCAGGGCAGTGAGGCCCCACCCACTTTTATCAAACACTGACATCCTGACCCACTGGACTAAACTCAGCCACCCCAAAGCCCTCTTCTAGAGCTCAGTGCCACAGAGTTGGCACCCTGTGTCCTAGATGCAGCGGTGGCTTCTTTCATTTCCTATTCTTCTGTTCCTGTTATCCCTGTTTAGTAGGTGATCTCCTGTAACTAGCTAATGGTTCTTTAGATGAAGCATATCTGTGATCTTCATCAGTGAGGGTTTTGTTAAAGAGGAAGTATACCGTGATTACAGGTGGTACATCTGCACTTAAGAGGCCCTAGGACAGCGATGGCTAACCTTTTGGAGACTGAATGCCAAACTGCAACCCAAAACCCACTTATTAATTGCAAAATGCCAGCACTGCAATTAAACCTGAATACTGAAGTTTTCATTTAGAAAAAATAACTCTATATTAACATCATTTGTTTTAAAAGGAAAACACAATACTACATGTGCCATAGGTTTGCCACTGCTTTTCTAGGGGCTCGGCAAAAGGAGAAGTGATGGAGGCCCATTCCTGTGCTTTGGTAAAGGGAGTCTAGGCTTTGGCCTTGGGCTAGAGTTTCCTGCTACAGTTGAGAACACTGAGGGCTGAATCAGCACTTTGATGTGAAGGTGATCTCCAGATGAAGGCACTTGCCTCTGAACATGGGGGAAGCCAGCTAGGGCACTCTCAGGTTTTCTACTTGTCCTTCTGAGGCCTCTAAGCTCCATCCCATAATTACACAGGTCAGACAAGTTATACCCAGAGATGTCCCACCTAGCTGTCCTCACTGTCCTGATGAATAGCGTCCTAGTCAGTATATATGACATCACTGACCCTAGTAGAGGAAATGGGTGAGATGGGAACCCTTTAGGATTGCTGAGCACACTCCTCCAGTGTGGCACCTTTAGCAGATGCTGAACTTGAAAACGCCCTGAGGTCAATGTATGGTTTCTTTCCAGGGTTGGAAAGGTGCTGGCCACTCTTATTTTCTACCTTATTTCTTTAGCTTCTATTGCCATAAAATATTACAAGCTATTTCCCCAAGTCTGAAAGTAGGCATATCATACATATATATGATATGTATAACTAAGAAAAAATACTAAAGAGAGGATCATTTTTGATGTTACATATTTATTCACCAGTATATGAAGTAACATTTTGCTGAATATAGTATAGAGCAACATTATGGAACTCAGTTTGAATAACAAAATTTTAAGAAAAATATTGCTCATGAAGATTTTTGTGTCCCTCATGGCCACATCAGAGTCCCTCATTTATGTCACAAAAGCAGGGGATCATGATCTGCATACATTTTGCATTCATCACACAATTAAAAGCTGGGATGAGTCCACAGCAGTGGTTTCAGCCAGGATGACCTTGTCCTTGGTGGTGTTGGCTGAGTTAGCCTCAGGATCACATTCCTTTGAAGCCCTTAAAAAAAGACATATACAAAGCACAGGCTTAGTAGTCCCCTTTTCAGTGGATTTCTTAGAATTCTCGGGACTCTCTGGGAAGTTCAGGGCTGCAGCTAACCACACATATGACACCAGGCCTGGATTATAGCTCCCTGCCCCGTGCCGAGTTCCTCTCTCATCCCTTCCTCTCCTACAGCTGCTGTACATGTAAACTCAGGCTACAAAAGTAAGGGAGAGTGACTAGCAAGTGAGCAACACCCAGCTAGTTGCTGCAGGCCTTGAAGAAGCAGGAGGAAGGAGGAAGGGGCTGAAGCTATGTCCTGAGCTCCAGGGGCCACCATCTAGCTCCCTAGAATGGGGACACCACTGCTGTGCTGCTGACAACCAGTCTGTCCCATCTTTTGGATCCTCTCCCCAAAAAGGCACCACTTGCTGTCACACACTCCCTCTTTGTTAAGAACATTCTACTTACTAGCTTACAACCCCAAGAACAAACCCAAGATCCTGTAGCCACCCAACTTTGCCTGTACAAATCTGCCTGTGGTTCTTGACCTCACCTAGGGCATGACACCAGTAGAGAGGACTAGATCCTACCAAGCAGACAGCCCCAGGTGTCCCATTTCAGGGCGTTGTTGTTCACTCATCCCCAGGACTCACTTCACTGCCTGGAACATTTTGACATAAAGACAGATGACAGAGCCTATTAGCATGAACATGGTCACCATGATCCCACTCCAAATGATAAGTAGTATCATTATCTCATCAAAAGTCACAGACATACCTAGCCAAAGAAGCACAGACAAAATCAGTGAAGGTTACCTCTCTCCTCTCACAGGAATGAGTTGCCTAGAAAAAGAATAGAGCTCAAAACCAGATCTTTATATGTGTAAGCCAACAGAGAATCTTCTCAGGGAGGACTTGGACCCCCTGTGTGGATAAGGTGGTTTATTTCCACATGAAAGAAACTAAGATGCAAAATTCATAGAGAAGAAGAACCGAATGACAGGCAGTGGAAAGAATCTTTACCTTTCACAGGCAGTGATGTGACTTTATGTAATAAAAAGGCTTACAGTGCAAGATCCTGAGTTCGAACCCCAGTACCAAAAAAAAAAAAAAGGCTCACACAGGAGCTAGTGGTTTTACTCACAGACACCTGGACCTCCTAAACTGTTCACAGTCAGAAGTAACTACTCACTGTACATCAGGTTTAGGGTCTCCTACGGGGATGATGGCTCCAAAATGTTATTGTTCTGATAATCTCCAAATCCATTTTGTAAATTTTGCATTTTTTAGGAGGGAAAAGTTTTGAATTTTTCTACTATAAACTGTTGTTATGCTTCTAAATCCTAAATCTTAAACCCTCCCAGGAAATTTAATTTTTAGTTATCACTTTGCTTAGTCTAACTCTCTTAAACTGGAAAAATGTGAATAAGGGGAGTAGAAAAAGTCTGACTGACAAGCATACTTACTACCTTGTAACTGTTCATGGCTGGATGAAGGCCAAGTTTTAAAAATATATACAATTAAAATACACTTTAGGAAAACAGAACATCTTATCAGAAGTTTCTCATACCCTTAAATTGAAAAGAATTCCAATTAGTAAGATTCAAATTGAAGAAATCACTCACTTTCAGAGGCTCAGTCTTCCACCAGAGTAGGTAGAAAAGAAAGCCACTGTTAACTCCAATGCCTACCTCAGTCACTACCCAGGCTTTGTGACCTCACCTCTCTCTATAGTAGCTCCCTTTCATGGAGTTCTGAATTCTAGTCCATGCTCAGATATATTTCAGCACCAATGGAAATAGAAATGCCTGAACATTACCTTAAATCATTACCTTTTTAGATTTTCTTTCCTTCAGAGAAACTTATGGTATGACTACTAATTGAAAGCAGATGTGAGCTGGGTATAGTGGCACAATCCTGTAGTTTCAGCACTCGGGAGGCTGAGGCATGAGGAGTGCCACAAATTGGAGGCCAGCCTGAACTACATAGTGAGTTCAAGGCCAGCCTGAGCTACATAGCAAGACCTTGTCTCAAAACACAGAAACAAAACAAAACAACAACAACAAAACTAAATGTGGGGTTTCAATCAGTTTAAAAAGACAATAATGCCCAGGGATTTAGCTCAGTGGTGCCACGCCCTGCCTTGCAAGTGCAAGGTTCTGAGTTTGATCCCCTGGGGCGGGGGGGAGAGACAATAATGTGGGGAAGCAGATAAGTAAAAACACTCATATATCTAAAAGATCAATGAAACAAGGCTAGTTAGACTTTATATCTTACCCACAGAGTGAAATAATATGTAGCCATTTAAGAGTATTCAAATATAGGCTCATGGGCATCATATCATGCATTAAGATGAGAAAACTCAAAAAAGTTACTGGATTAGGATACGCATTTTTGCCAGGTCTCTATGATTTGCAGCTAGTTTGACCAAGCAAAGCCAATTCAATTAAATGAGGGAGTTATTTTAACTACCACAGGTAATTCCATACTGCTCTGGCAAAAACATGAATGAGGTCATGAACAGCAGAAAAGATTTCAAGAAAATGGTAACAAGAATCTATGAAAATTTTCTCCACAAAACAATGAAAAATCTAGCAAAACTTTTTCAGAGTCAGCTTTTTCAGAACTCTGAAAAACAATGAAAATCTTGCAGCATCCCATAAAGCATTTATTCAAGAGAAACAACCAAAGCTCAGTATAAACAGTAAAGTTTGTGACACCGTCCAATAACTCACCCTCTAGTTTCATGGTAGCCTTGAAAATAACCCACATTTTGAGGCAGCCCCCAGAGGGACATAAAAAAGGTAGAGCTCAAGCCTCACTGTCAGGGAAATGTCTTTTTTTTTTGTACTGGGGATGGAACTCGAGACCTTGTGTTTTCAGGGCAGGTAGCAGAACCACTGAGCTAAATCCCTGGCCCCAAACTGTCATTATTTGACCCATCTGCTGGTTACCTGGAAGACTTCACTTGCAAGGCTATATTTGACCTGACTTAGAGACCACCCAGTGCAGTAATCCTCCCTAGAGAGTTTTGGCAAAAACACTTGAGATCAATTGATTTAATTTCCTGGCTGCATATGGTGGCAGATAACATTTGAGACAAATGACTAGGCCAAATTTGTAAAGGATAAGCTAGGGAATGAGATATCCCCAATCCAAAAGCAATAGTGATTTTGAAAGTTTCTGGCATATTCCAGGGTAGCCTACAAAACCAGGCTTCCTGTTTAGTCATTGCTTCTACTAATAAGACAGGGATACTAACAGTATTACCTATATCATAGCCTTTCTGTAAGGACTAAAATCTGTCGGAGGTAGTGCTGGACACCCTGATCATCACTAAATAAATATCAGCTATTATCACCATCATGATGATGTGGTGGTTGTTCCTACCCCCTATAAGAACAGCTGGATTCTTTTCATAGACATTCCCCAACATTAGCAGAACTACATTTTCTCTTTAGGTGAAACCCTCTATTTACTAAAGTTGAAAGTTAATTCTGATTATTTTATTTTCCATTCTTTCTATTGCCCCATCCTCACTGGAACTGAGTTGCAGTATTAGAGCATTATAGGCCTCTCCCCCACAAACACCTCCCAGGATGGTCCTACAGCTTCATTTACCTACTAGAGACCACCATTGGCACTGACAAACAGCTCCACAACCCTAGCGAGTGGGGCTGCACCTCCCACATCAATGCCTGTATACAGCCAGTTAGCCAATCACAAACTGTACTTACACAGCATAAAGTAAGCCATGGAAAAGTGAGTTCTCCTTGGAGCCTTGAGGAGACACATATTTATGATTTCTCTACAGAGTTTATAAAGGAAAAATGTATTAGTCACTGTCCCATCACTAGGACACAATACCCAACACCATCAACTTAAAGGATAAGAGGCTTATTTTGGCTCATGATTTAGTCCACAGGTGGCTAGCTCCAAGGCAAAAACAGCATGGTGGAAGGACATGGCAGAGGAAAGCTCTTCAACCAAGGGCAGCTAAAAAGGAGGGGGGGGGGGTTGGGGGAGAGGGCCAGGGGAGCAGATATACTCTCCAAAGGCATATCCCCAAAGATACGACTCCCAACTAGGCCCAACCTCCTCACATTACATTTACCTATGAACTCACTAACGGATCAATCCATAACAAGAAGATAATATATTAGGGACTAAAGATAGCACATGCCTGTAATTCCAGACCTCAGGAGACTGAAGCAGGAAAATCATGAGTTCAAGGTCAGTTTGAGCTACATAGCCAGATCCAGGCCACCATGGATTGCATAGTGAGACCCGATTTAAAGGGAGGAGGGGATGCTGAAGACAGATAAGTTTAGTAAAAGAATCTTTAATTTTTTTAAAAAGATCTTTAATTGAATTTTTTTTAAAAAACTTGATAATGAAACTTCATGTCTTAGTTACTGTCTCCTTGCTGAGACACAATACCCAACATCCACAAATTAAAGGAGAAAAGGTTTATTTTGGCTCACAGTTTGTAGAGGTTTCAGCCCATGGTCAGCAGCTCAAGGCAGGGTACCATGACAGAGGGGTATGGTAGCAGGAAGCAGAGAGAGAGACATGGGTGAGGGGAGAAGGTACATCCTTCCAAGCCATACCCGCATTGACTCATCTCCTCCAACCACCCAAATCACATTTAGCTATAAACTTATTAGTGAACTAATCCACTGATGAGTATCAAGCTCCCATGATCTATTCACATTCCCAAAAACCCACCTATGAGTGTATGAGGGTTTGAGGGGACAATAGATATAAATTGTAACCCCTGACTTGTGATTTGTAATCACCATGTATAAAGGAACAATCATTTTATTTTTGTCTCTTGTTTTTTGCTGAAGACTGATTCCCTAAATAAAGAAAAGGCCTTAATCATTTATCTGCTTACTTTAAAATAGCTCATTATAAGAGCAATACATGTTATAGAAAAACAGAAAGCAAAGTTAATCCAAAAAAATTTTATATATACCCCTCCACTCACAGACACTATTAATAATTTCACATATAAACATTTTTTCCACTTCTTCCTTTTAGATTTTCCAAATATTTGCAAATATTTTATACATTTAAGTAGGATCATACTTTGCATCCTTTGAATAGATTTTCTTCATATCTACATCATAGATATCTTTTCTACAGATATGCCTCATTTGAAAAAAGTAACTATATATATATGGTAATTCTTTACATGGGTTTACCACAATATATATAATCTGCAAAGTGTATGTTCTAGTATCTATTATAAGCATATCATACCATAATTTACATAAGCTGTGAAAGTGTATGTCTTCTTTATTATCTTACTATTATAAGCATATCATAATTAACACTTATACATGTTTATACATCTTATTAAGATTCTCAGTATAGAATTATCACTCAAATTTAAATAACCAGGCCAAATTCCATATATTTATATACTGTCTAGCTGTCCTAAAGACATGTGGTACTTGTATTATGTCCCCTTCCACTAAGAGTATATAAAAGCAAGTGTTTCCCATATTGTTCTGGAAATCGCAGAAAGAAATACATGGAGACACAGAATTCAGGTAAAATAATAAAACTTTACTTGCAAGCAGGCAGGACTGCCAGAAACTGATCCAGCCATTGTCAGCACTGTTCTCTGTTAGTCTCTTCTTTTTATACCTTTGTTAGTCATTATCTCATCCCTAGTGGTCTTTGATGTGTAAATACAAGTCACAGACACCAGGTAAGCACATATACATTGTAAATTCACCTAGGCATTTGCAACTTTGTTAGGTTAAAATGTTATCTATAATGAAGTTACTGGTTAAGGAATCAGAAAACCATGACCTTAAACAACAAGAGTTAAGGGAAAAGCAAATCTTAAAGGAATACATTACTTATTTTGCTTCTACAACTACCTCAATATTCAATCTACTAAGTTATCTAAAACTTTTCCCTATCAATATTATGTTCAACACCGGTTTGTGGGTGTGTGTGAATGTATGAGTCTGTGGTGACTGGTTGTTTTTGTGGTATGAGGGACTGACACAAGGGCCTTCCCCATGCTAGACCAGCACTTCTACCACAGAGCTACACACCAGCCTTAAAATGTTACCCAATTTTTTATGCAGTGTTGTGATTGAACCCAGAACTTTACACAATAAACAGGCATTTGACCGCCAGCCCATTTGGTTTTAAATCTTTAAAAGGACTTAACTAATCTCATTAAAAACTTATGTTTACTTTTGTCAGGTAAAAGGGCCAAAGACCAAGACCAGACCAGGCCACAACAAGCCTTTATTAGGGGAATAGATCTGCTGGGCTGTCTCTGAACAAAG